TCCTGCACCTAGGGACCAGTACAGGTAGTGGCAGTGGCTCGGGCTAGTGGTATGCACACACTGAGCTATGGGGAACAGCTGCAGGTGTCTATGAGGTGGCAGTGGCTAGTTGCAGACAGTCTTGCCTGAAGGGAATTGCCCCCAGGCAAGTTCACTTTGGATTCAGTGAGGTGAAATAGCAACAACAGAACATTAGGGGTAAAAGGGTTTATACCAAGCTTTATTCTCATGGTAGAAGGTCGAGTGCTGGAATCACGTCTGCCTCTAGAGCATTCACATTCACAGTCTCTGCCTCTGGGAAGAGCACTGGATGGAGCTGTTTACATAGTAACACTGACAATAGTGGCTCATTGCCAATGGGTATGTAAGCAATAGCCTAGCAGTAAGGCAATTATATAATCAAGTAGTTTAGGGTCAGTTGAGGATCCTAGCCACAAGAACTTCCATTTCCCCTATACTCTACCCCTTCAGGATTCTTTCCTCACAGTCTACATGCCCTCAGTCTTCCATGATGATCCCTGTGTGAGAAAGCAGGAGCATTGTAGCCAGATTCCATAACAGCAACAGAGAATATCAACATACAGATAACAAAAATTATGATACAGATAACAGCAAAAATTATAATAATCCTCAAGCCTGAGGAGATCGATTGATGCCAAGTGGTCATTCCAGCTTGTATTCAAACTATTTCTACTCAGATGACTTCATGACTCACACTTTCCACAGTCAAAATCAATCTTCTGCTATGGTCTATGCATGAGAAAGCTGGGAACTTGTAACAACAAAAATTATAATAATAATTGTCATCCTTAAGCCAAAGGAGATCAATTGCCATCGAGTGGTTATCCCAGCTGTATTCAAACCAGTCCCAGTTCACAATTCGCACTTCCGCGGGAAGCCAGTAGCAGTACTGATAAAGAGCTTGTGCATACCCAGTGAGTAGCAGTTTTTGCTAGGATGTATGCCCACTCTACAAAGACATTAGAGGAGATTAAATTTAAGGGCAATAAAACACACATTTTAATGGTACTAACATAGGCAAATATTGTCCATCAGGGAGGATTCATGCAAGAGAGTGGTCCTGTAAGAATAGCACAGCAGGAAAGACCCTGTCTGGGTCTAGTATACCATACTTTTACCTCTCTTCCTGTGGGGGTTACCAAGGGGTCTATGTATAGTGCTACTAGAGGTGTGTGCACTGGCCATAAAGATAAAATAAAACTCCCACCAAAGATTAGGATACTGTACCGTAATCTTTGGGGGACACTCTACCATTACTCCAGGAATACATAAGAGCCAGCCTCCAGGCCTTGTCCCCAAGGTGCCCAGAGGGCCAGCCATCACTGGCCCATGTGTTGAAAAGTCCAAGGCCACATCCACTGAACAGAGTCTCCAGGGTTTATTGCATTCAGTGGTGGTAGCAGTATGTTATTCTGGTGGCCAAAACCTGGCTTCAGCGATTCCTCTTTGGTTTGTACTTGCAGGTGTATAGGGGAAGCAGCTAATGTGTGTTAACTTGTCTACAGGGCTCAATGCCCCCTTCTGAGGCTTATCATTCAAACAGTGTAGCACTGTCCATAAGTAGACTGACCATCTCCATAGACTATTAGTGTCTGACTATAAGCCAGATTCAAACAAACCATTGTACCTTTCTATCATGTCTTCCCTGGTAGGATTATATGGTACATAAAACTTCTACTTTATCCCCAATTGTTGCACTCATTCTTGTAGTGCATGTCCAGTAAAGTGGGTGCCTTGATCACTCTCAATCACCTGTGGTTGGCTATAGGCTGCAAAGAGACTCTCCAGGCCTCTTTTGGTCATTTGCTGATCTGCACAATGTGCAGTCCAGTAGTTTTATCTTCACCAGTCAAGACATATAGGTACCCTTCTGATATGGCCAGAGGCCCAATATGCTCTATCTGCCACCTGACAAGGGGAATCAGCCCCTTAGCTGTTGTCACATGTTGCTGTGGGACTCAATATAAGTCCATTTTAGAGCATACAATGTACTCCTGCTGGGTTCTGATGACTTCTTCGAAGGTCAAAGGCAGGTCCCACCAATGGGCTACAGGCCACATTGTCTTCTGCCCTGCATGCAACAAACATTGATGTAACCATTGGGCCATATCAGAGGCAGGCTTTGCTTCTAGCCATCATACCTGGGCCAATCCATCTGCTTCATTGTTTCCTGGGGATGCCAGTGGCAAATGGCCTGTCACATGATATACTGTAACTGTTTAAATCTGACCAGAGGCCCATAAATCTTGCCACAACTCTGTCCCCAAAGGGGTCAGTGGCCCACCAACCAGTTGGCATGGTACCATGTCAGTAATACTTATTTTTTAAGGATTACATTTTAATCCTTATGATCTTTATTTTACATATTTCTGGGAAAAAGTGTTGAAAATCAGTTGCAGCACTAATAAAAGCTTGATCATGACATTTGACAAATCTTAGAAAACCAGAAACATCTTGTAAATACTCTTTTAAAAATGCTATTACAGCAGAACAAAATGGCAATGTAGAGACCCCTGCCTCTTTGTCTCCCCACAAACCTCAACAATTAGACAACTATCCACAAACAAAAGCAGATCTGGGAGTGCTCTAGACTCCTATTAAGAAATTTTAGCAACACAGTAGAACAAAAAAAATTGTGAATAATAAAAAAAAAAAGGATAACAGCTTCATTTCCTGCATTATCTGATACCCTAAGTTGACCCTGTTCAGCAATAAGCAGGAACTTCTCAGCTTGAAAGTTTTCTTCACAAGGAAAGGAAGAGAGGCATGAGCAACCAGCACCTCCAGCCTTTCAGGGCACCACAGCTCCTGCTCTGGTTTTACCTCACCCAGAATGGCAAAGCTGAGACATATAAGGACAGCTAGGAACAAGGATAAAACAGAAGGCCTATTGTGGATAAAGTGAAGGTTCCTGTGGCCAGGATTCTCACCTGGCCCTATCACTACACATGTGTGGACAATACGTTGTTACTGACTCTAAACAAAGTGCTTCTCCTAGGGCTCTGGGTGACACGGTGGCCTGGCTGCAAGGCTGCAGGAGAGCAGAGCAGGGGCTGGAGTGGTGGCAGCGCCGAGGACAGAGGCCCAGAGGACGGCTGTGAAGGATGACTGTGCAGAGAGACCCAGAGGATGGCTGTGTGGGCAGAGAGGCCCAGAGGACGGCTGTGAAGGATGACTGTGCAGAGAGACCCAGAGGATGGCTGTGTGGGCAGAGAGGCCCAGAGGACGGCTATGAAGGATAACTGTGCAGAGAGACCCAGAGGATGGCTGTGTGAGCAGAGAGGGCCAGAGGATGGAGATGTGGACAGAGAGGCCCAGAGACTGGCTTGCTGCATGCAGACTCGCTCTGAGTGAACAGGATTTTAGTGATTGACCTGCCACTGTGGGAATGAAGTTGGGTATAAACCCTTTCACCCCAAGAATTGTGTTCACCCCGTCATTTCTTTGGTCACATTGAATCCACAGTGAAGTTGTCTGGGGCCGAAACCCATTGGCAAGACATAAGGTCATCATTTTCTTGCCAGGAAGAACTCAGATTGTTGAAGATACCAGAATATCTGCGAATGTAGTAACTGGAACATCCTCTTGCTCTAAGTCACTATGCTACTTAAGGTTCAAAAAAATCATCTTAGTTTTTCTTGTGGTAGCCTAAGGTATATGTCATAAGAACCACAGGAAAAAGATGAAGGATCTAAGAAGGGACAGACAGACACCAAGGCATGAGCTGGGTTTTTGTTAGAGATTCACAGATGTATCAGTTTTCTGTAATTAGCCTACATCTTTCCTCAGGAAAAAAAAGGGTTTTTGTTTGTTTTTAAGGCTACAGGTTTTTATTTTTAATGCAATCCTCAGACTGTTTCACAGCCTATGGAAATTAAATGTCAGTTGAAGTGCTATCTGAATATGAAGACAAAAAAACTCACTCAAAATTTCAAATCAGGATCTCCCAGACTTCATATTTCATTGTTGAACCCCTCACTGGTCCAATTCCCCTACTTTGCACCACTCTTCTAAGTTGCAGGAAGTCAGTAGGGGGTTGAGCACAAATAATGAAAAAGGATCTAAGTTGATTAAGTCTTAAATACTTAAAAGGCTGGATTTTCATGCCGATGCTTGCTCACAGTTTTTTTCCCTAGTCTAGTCTAATCTATCCTATTCTAATAATGCATTTATTTATGTTTCCAGTGCTGGTATCACCTGCTTCAGTTTTCATTGTTGCTACTAGTGGTTACTAATTGAGTGTTCTCTTTCATGTGGGCAGTAGGCCAGAGTGAACAGTTTCACAGGTATCTCCTAAACACACACAAACACACCCCACATGCTTACACACTCACTGGTCTCCTTTTTATGCAACACAGACACAGCTCTTTTGAGATATTCTGGTGCTACTCCCAGGGACAGAAAATAGAGACATGGATATTAGAAAAATAACAAACAAGCATAATAATAGAGCTCAAATGCATAAAATGATGTTCTCCTGATGTTATGATAATATAAATGAAACTCTCCCAAATGCTTTCTTCAGCATATCACCTTCACTGCATTCCTCTAAATCTCATTATTTTCCTGAGTTTGCCCCTCTCTTAACCCTGGATTTAAGTTTCTTGGTCTCCTTATCTTCAAAAAGTAGATTGGTATCACAGAGAAAATCAGTTTTGCCAAATATTGAAATTCTTAAAAATCCCATTCATTGGATAATTAATGAAGAGGAAGAATGGGACTCAGTAAATATGTATGACATTATGATAAATTGCTAGAATCTATCTGCTAGTATCTAGTTCTATCTTTTGCTATTTAATACATTTGGGCAAATTATTTAAACTCTTAGTTCTATTTTCTTCATCTTGTAGATAGAGAAGAAGAATAGTCTTTCTATGTAGTGTTACTGTGAAAATTAAATATATTAATGCATGTAAATCACTTTTTTCAATGCCTGGCACCCACTTGATAAATTTCAGCTTTTTTGTTATTATTCCTTGTTTATTTATCCTATAAATCCTGAAATTGGAATGATACAGTAAATTATTAGCATAGCCCTTGTGAAAACATGACAAGTAAATTTGTGAAAGCTGTCATATTTCAAATGAAAGTAAGTGAACAAAAGTTGAAAGATGAAATGATAAGTTCTGAGAATATGATAAAATACTGACTGGAGGGCCAAAGAAACAAATTGAAAACCAAAACACTACTACAAAACTAATGAATAAATGAGAAAATGCAGAGATAACAGACCTAGATGAAAGTAATTTCTATCAATAGGAGAAAAGCCTTTGTATATCCTCAGAGAATGGAGAGAGAGAAAGGGGGAGAGAGGGGGAGAATGAATAAACCAATTAAAGAGAATAATTGGATACCAGTCATAGATGAGCCAGTATAAGGATAATTGGCATCCCTAAAGAAAAGATCTCTATCTATGAAACAAAAAAGGCACAGAGAAGTATAATACAGGAAAATTTAATTGAAATGAAGGAAGAATTGAATCTGCAGATCATATATCAGGAAAGCTCATTCAGAACAATCGACATCAAAGCACATACTGTTAAATTATTGAATTTCAAGAATAAAGAAGACATTCTACTGCAACCTAAGTATAAAAAGCAAAATCGCTGACAGAGGGGATAACAAAGTGAACCATAGAAATGTCCATAGCTATACTGAAACCTGAATAAAAATGTACACATCTCCTCAGTGTTCTGAAATAAGTAAAATATGTCCTTAAAATATTTTATTCACCCAAATTGTCTTTCAAAAGTAGAGACAAAAAGCAAGTTTTCCACAGTACAAAATTTAGGGACTATAGTACAATGAAATCCAGTTGATGGAAAAATTATAAAAAAAAGAACTTGTGGATGGAGAAGCAGAGGAGATAAAAATGCCTGGTGATATGAATTGATTCCACTTTAAGATAGAACTCTGAAGAAACTAAAATTGCAGTTAAAAGCATCAATTTATCACAAACAAAAAGGAAAAATAAATATCATCATTATTAAAAATGTATAAGTTAAAGACCTACCTCTTTAAAAGCCATGAGTGAATCTTACTGATAATCACGTTTTCTTAAACTTAATTGGAGGAATATCCGAAAGTGTAATGAAATGTTTATCTGAAGTTCATTAGTTTTTTTTCAGGTTCATGTTCATATCACTTTCTTTGTTCTTTTATTAAGTTCAAGGAAATCTAATGTGATTTTTATATAGCATATAAATATCTTTCTTGTAAAATTATCTGTTTTTCTATCTATAAATATATTTGTCTCTCAGTCCTTCTAAGTATGTATCAGCATAAAGATATGATTAAAGGATGTTCACCAAATAGTTACCCCACACCTTTGGAAGGATTTAGAATCATTTCTTCCATGTATTTTTATCACTTAAAAATATTATGGGGGGAGGAGCCAAGGTGGCGGCATGAGTAGGGCAGCAGAAATCTCCCAAAACCATATATATTTTTGAAAATACAACAAATATAACTATTCCTAAAAGAGAGACCAGAGGATACAGTACAACAGCCAGGCTACATCTACATCTGCAAGAACTCAGCATCTCACGAAGGGGGTATGATACAAACCGTGGCCCAGCAGGACCTGAGCACTCCCCCCACCCCAGCTCACCATGGGGAGAAAAGGAGTCAGAGTAGGGAGGGAGGGGAAGCACAGGACTGCTGAATACCCAGCCCTAGTGATCCGCACCAGGAGCGCAGATACACATTGCACGGTGTGCTGGATATTAGGGAAACAGATGAGTAAAAATCTGTAAGCGGATCACCACAGCCAGCTTCCCTGGGAAAAAAGAAAAGCAACTGCTTTTTGAAAGTCTTAAAGGGACAGGGGCTTCACAGCTGGATGGAATCATCCCGGTATACTCAGCCCAGCAGGCTGGGACTCCTGAGGAACTTCAGGCGCCTGAGCCCCCTGGGTGGCAACGCAGCTCTGAAGCCCCTCACAGTGATAAGCAGTGCCCCATTAATTCCTCCCGGCCAGCCCCTCCACAGTGGCTGAGCAGGCGGAGAGAGGCCCTGCCCACAGCAGCTGCACAGAGGCTCCTTCCAGCACGCAGCTGCCCAGGCCTGACCCAGAGGTCGCTGCTGGTGTGCAGCTGCACAGCGCAGGCAGAGGAGACTGAGGCAAGGCATGGAGGGGCACCATTCTCACAGAAGAGCACACCCAGTGTGCCTGCCTATCCCCGCAGGGCTTTGGGCTGCCCCGATGGCTGCCTGGCCCGCAGCGGCTCAGGGGATTGACCCAGATGCTGCTCCCGGTGTGCGGGTAACCAACACAGGCAGCAGAGAAGGGCAAGGTGACCAGCAAGCAGGAAGGGACTTTGTTCTCCCAGCTGACACACACACCACCTGCCTGCAACTGACTCTATTGCCATGAAAAGGTAATAGAATTTGGTCCAGTCCAGAATTACCCAGACAACCCCCGAGAGAAGCCCTGGAGAGATATTTCTAAGATAATAGAAATGTACTTCTTACAGTTCTGGAGTGTGGTCTCCTCCCAGTCACAGACTCCTTGTGTTCTCACATGACTAAAGGGGCAAGGGGACTCTGTGGAGCCCCTTTTATCATGGCACTAATCTCATTCATGAGACCTCCACGCTCATGACTAAGCTCCCCCAAAGGCCCCTCCTAATGCTATCACATCGGGACATAGGATTTCAACATATGAACTTGTGGGGGATACCAACATTCAGACCATAGTAGGTCATGATAATGCTTTGATGAGAAAAAAACTTTTGAGAAAAACAGCTTTGTTTTTCTGACTTGCTGCCTTTGCCATTACAGTTTGATAACCCTGCTCATACCCAGAGTCTGGACATTTGGATAAGGACTAGAGTTTAGGATGCCCACCGTATGTCCCCACCTTGCTTTTCTTGGGGTACCTTTTAAAATGGCCACATAGAATTAAGCCCACAAAAAGTTAGTGACCTCTGCCCCAACCACCTTATGATAATAGCGACTTGTGCCCTACTCTCTATCTCCTGCTCGCTAGTAACCTGGGAGGGAGGACTACCCTCCTCTGGCCCTGGCACACCCCTCCTCCCCATTTCTGGAATGTGTAAGTAATAATTAATCTTGCAACTCTGTTTCTTTTGTGTGTGTGTATTGAAATGGTGTCTTCAATCAGAACCATCCTGTGGGTCTCACTCGTGTCTTCAATCAGAACCATCCTGTGGGTCTCACTCGCCCAGATGGGAGCTCAAATACTGAGAGAGTGACGTGCTTACTCCATGTGGGTGGCTTGTGCCCCCCTCATTCAACAGGTCATAATCTACATATTCCTAATTCAATACTCCAGCTTCTCAACACAGATGCCTAAGTAAAAGTCTTTGTCACAGCAAAAGACTGATGGGCAATATTCCAAATAGAAGCTAGAGGCAGTTTAATAACAAAGTAGTTTGTAAACAGGTAACTGTTGTGGATACTTGCTCTCTCCCTGAACTTTCCTCACCTAACTTCTCTTCCTTCATATCGTATTGTCTTTACTGAGTAGCAGGAGGTAGAAAAGAGGTATTAGATACACCTTCCCATATGACTCTGCCGTCAGAAAGGATGTATATGTGCTGAGAATCTGATAAGTTAGGGGTAGTAATAAAAAGTAAGGTCCCCAAGGATAAACATCTAATCACTACAGGTAAGAGTTCATGCTCTCTTAACTGGTCTCCATTTGATTTAAGAAATGCTAAAATAACATCTCTCAGGCTGACCACAGGCATTTGATAGCACAGACAAATTTAGAGTTTCCATTTGTTGCAACGTGACCTAAACCAATTTGGTCATGTGTGGAGGCTCTTAGTTATTTCTGGTACATAACTATAGCCACCAAAGAAGTTGTATGTGGGTGAGGATTTCTTTACTAGGTGACAGTGAAAAGGTGTCTCAAACAGAATCCCTCATATACACAGATATTAAACAAATAATACATTTATTTAAAAATTACAACCAGTTCATAAAGGGTTCATTTGGGAAAGATTTATCAAAATTTCAAAGGCAGGATTACTCTTAGGTAACCACAGTCTTCTTGGTTGGGTATAAGGCTATTTAGAGATCATGTCTCAGGCACAATCTCTTACTGCTATGGGCCTTGCTACATTCTTATGTCCTATTTGTATTAACAGTGGGGTATCTCAAAACAATTTTAAGCAGACCACATTTCATCAAAAATTTACTTCCCCCCATTGAAAACCAATTTGACATTCAGAACAGGATTTAACAAAATGCCTGGTATTGATTGAGATAACATTTAACAGACATGCTGATGGTATACAGCTCTGGGGTGTGACTTTTTGGATAAAATGCTAGATAGGCCACCCTTCAGTATGGATTTTCTCCTAGGAGTGACTGCCCTTAGAATTTGAAGCTTGAACTAATTAGTAAATGTATAGTATGACAGTCTCTGGTGAAATATTTTATAGAAAATCATAGACATCAGAACAGTATGGAAGATATTACACGTAAATAATTTGAAGTCTAAAATCACTCCATTAAAGCAGAAATAATAGAGGACTGTTACAGTACTGTAAATTAAGTTAACTCCCCTCCTTGTCATCACCACCCCCACCCACACCCCCACACAAAAAAAGACAGAAATCAACTTTGTTTACTGTCTAGCTCATTCTTAGAGGAAGACAACCTGCTTATAAAAATCTTTGTGTTCTGGTGAATGATGTTGCTTAATTTAAAGTATATATAACTTTTCAAGGAAATAATTTGGGTTATTTACCTTTTTAATCACATTTTGAAAATGCTTAGTAGTTATTTATTTACCTTTGAAATGATTTTCCTGTGTAATATTTCAGGTCATAGAGTACAGATGATCTTTTTTGGTCAACTAGATCTTAATTGTTCAAAATCATTAGCAAATATATGCATAACTTGAGATTTGAGGGGGTTTTGTTTATTTACTCTTTGAATAAACTCAGACAAAGAAGCTCAGGGTGGATTAGATGGACTGCTTGAAAGTAATTTTCTACCACATTTACTCAGAACAGTATGGTATATGCCTTACCTGGTATCCTCGTAACTAAGAAACAATACTTTAAATATTCACATGGTGTGTTATTTATACAATAATGTAATGATTT